CCTGCATGCGAGACAGCAGCAAATGGATCACCCACGCTGCGCCTGTTATCAAAAAAAACCTTTGAGAATTAGATTTCTCTAATTTTTTCTAAGAAAAAACATAGCTCTGAAATCCAGAACCAAAACCGAAACCAAAAAAACTTAGCGAAAAAAGTTGCAGCTTTGCCTCTATTCTCAGGATTAACAATCGACGAGAGGGAAAACTAAGAGAAGATTTCCTACTCCTTGTAAATTTTAGTTTTTTATGTTATTTCCTTGCCCAAGTGAGGCCCGGACTAGCTAGAGCTGAGACTAGTGACATATAAGTAAAATTTGTAGATCTGAGGTCTACTAATTAAAAACAATTTTTTTCGAAAAGAGCTTCTAGCGGACATGTTCGCAGAATTTTCTGCTTCGATTAGCTCTGTTGTTCGTACGGTGAATGTTTTGAATAAAATGGAGTCTGAAATAGAAAATTTTATTATTCAGAATGAAATTTCCAGAAGAATAAAAATCAATCCAAAAAAATTCTTTTTTCTTACACCAGTAAATTAAATTGAAATGCGTAACTTCAGTGACCTAAGAGAAAATTTATGAACCAACTTTCAATAATTCTTCCCATAATTTCCCAAACACAAAGGTTAGGTTAACATTATGTGATAATGTGAATTAGATACGTCCTTGAAGTGTTTACGTGCGGGTTTTATTGCATAACTACGTAACTTCTTATCAAGGCTAAGTTTAGAACTATATAAAACCTTTTCAGTTCGTGGAGTGGGTATTAAAGGTATGCTACTGCTCACTATTATATTCTATGCTTTAACTGCTACCAAAGGATTTTTATTTGGTAATAGATGCTATCCATGCAGTTATCCATCCTATTCGTCCGGTGGTGGCTACGGTAGTTCCTATGGTTATTATCCCGCTTATGCAAACTATGGCAGTTCGCATTCCTATGGATCTTATGGCTCCTATGGATCCTATCCCTCTCATGGATCCTTTGGTTCTTATGGGTCCTATCCTACTCAGGTCTACTCCTCTTATATGCCCTCTCATAGTTCATACAGCCAACCGTCCTATTCTCCCTATTATCAATCCTACGGCTCTGCATCCCCGTATTACGGTGGTAGTGGTGGGTACACTATCTGGTATCCGCATGCTATTGAATATGTGAATAGGCGATGGGCCGAGTATTCATTAGGAGAAAACGCTCGATACAGGCCAAGTTACAGCAGCTATCGAAGTAAGTCCAGTTTTAACACAAGCGATCAATTGAATATTCATATAGCTGAACAGACAACGACTTGGTAAGGTGCAGCAAGCAGTATAACCTTACAAGGGCAAGATACTTGGTCGAAGTGTGATTCAAAAAGGTATTACTAGTGTTAAGCGCATCTTGAAGTGGTTATTTCAAATTTGCCCTTCGTATCCGCGAAACAATTTTGTTAAAAAAGTATAAAAGTTTTTCTGTGCCAAAATTGCAGCTTGTCAATAATCGCCCTACAACATACAATTAATCAGAAACAACAATCAGAGGGTTATTTCATTATGAAGGCGAACCAATACTTGTGTTTTTGACAAAAAAAGCGGCCATTTTTCATTAGAGCACTCGCATGCATGGAGGGCAGATTCGGAATGAGCATTTGAAAATACATTTTTCAAGATTTATTTCATTTTAAATTGTCGCTTCAACCAAGTATCCTTCCCTTTTTAGATACAAAGATGGAAAAAGATTGAAGAAACTTTGCAAAACATAGATCAATGTATGAAGCTCTTGAGCAACAGGGGTAATGAATAGGTGAGACTTAAGCTAAAAACGCTTGTATGGATGGCCTATAGACAAGATTATACGACTTTTACAAAGTTCATCGAAGCCATAAGCTTGGACTAATAATGACTTTGCGAAGAGCGAGTAATAAAATCAGGGTGTTAATGCTCAAAGACCATGGAAAAATTTACCTTGGTCAGGGGTTTTGATTAAAAAGTTTTGGTATTGGTCACGGCTTGGTCATAGCCAAGATAGCTAAACAAAGCCAAATTAGAGATAACAACAATCAATATGTCACGCAAAAAATTATCTTTTTTTTCTCAGTTTCAAGGAGTAATTTCACTAATCAGAAACTTAGAATCAACGGCTGGACAGTCAGTCTGCTCTGGCAGGGAGTGATAGCTTGTATGTAACGTAGATTTTTTAAAGCTAATCCAGGAATCGCTCTCTACGACATGCAGCTATCTCTTGTCCCTATTTTATCAATTGCGTACTTTGCTATAACACGTAAGCATCGAAATTGACCTCAAGAGTGTAACTTATAGAAAAATCACTCTCGGCTGAGTCAGTAACAAACATTGCTAAGAACAATTTTGTCAGAAATTATGATCGAAATGGCAGCTAATGGGTTTTCATGCAGTCCCCCAATCTTGTTACCGAAACCTCGTAATTAGTTTAGATTATGAAAGCACTTCACAGCAATATCAACCAAGCGGCACATACGCTAGACCTGGAGGTTATGGCTCTCAGCAAGGTGGTACGTCCTTACAATTTTTAATATTTCATACAAAAGGGCGAAGGAAATACAATCGAACTGTTTACTCATGTGATCAACGAATGACTACAGTATGTGAAGACGAAAAGTTTCTGGTATCCATTTTCTATGGAAAATTTCATTACATATTCAATACACTCTTTCTCTTGGCCTGTTCATTAGGGCATTTGTGGCAATGTGCTTTTTCGGCTAGAGAAAAAAATAAGGTTGCCAAATTGCATAAGATATAAGGAAAGCTCAAAGGATACCCAAAGTTGGAAAAAAAGCACATAGCATTATTACTTTGTAAGCTGTTGAGGTTCGAATCACAGCATTACTTAAAGATGCTTTACATATCAGCTTTGACACCCATATTATCATTACTTATCATGATATAATACGTCGCCAATCAACTTTTCCTTTTTGAAGAAGAAGAAGATCATGTCTTCTAAGTGCCCATCATGAAGATTTTGTTCGTCTGCATAATATCTACACATTCCTCAGCGATCTATTGGAGTATTACCTACTGGCTCCCCAAAAACAATAAAATTTGAAAAGCGGCAACCTTGGGATAATTAAACTTTCCTATAGAAAATTTGGCTCTATATAAAAACGCATAAAGTCATTCGTTGGCGAAACGGGGCAGCGAGCACATTATAAAATTGTTTTTATTATCGTTTGCTACAAGCAAAATAACGTCATGAGGCAAGTCAATCAACCTTTGCACCTTTTTGATCTTTTCACAAATTATCAAGAATTGCAAGCAATTTTGTTTCAGGCTTGCCCTTTGCCGAACAGCTAACAGATGCATAAGTGAACGTGTGAAATGTTTTGCGTGAAACTTGTGAACAAAATTTCAAAAAAAAAGGTTGAACTCCTTAAAGAACACTGAGATTACTAGAAGATATGAAACAGAAAGCTGTCCTCCTTTTACTCTACACGAATATAATGGTCGTAAGTTCTATGCGTGTGCTTGATTAGAATACCCGGATTTGTTCACTTGAATGTAAAAACTAGAAAAAAATCTTATGCTTCCCACACAATCACAACCAAATTTACCCAACCATGATAAGAATAGAGAAATGCAAAACATATGTTTGTGCTTAATTAGATTTCTCAGCGCGGCAGCTGTTTATTGGCTTCAAATTCCGAACGAATTGATTTACGCAACACTGCTAATATGCGTACACGTTGTTTGAAGCTATCCATGACAATGCAGTTGGAGAAAAGAGTCTTTATTATAGCAGATGATACCAAAAATCCGATGATCTGTCCCATTTTACTCAGAAATAAGTAGATTTGTAAGAGTTTCGTACAGATAAACAAATTGACCAATTTTTGGATAAGCTCAATTGCAGCTAAGATCATGGTGATGAGTTAGACACAGAAAACTATTGACATTCAGAATCAAGAGGTGGTTTCTAGATATTTTTATCTTTAAATTGTGATAGAAACTGAAATTTTTAAAAAAATGCAGTTTTAAGCATAAGTAGAGATTTGAGGAAAGTCTTGAAGCAGTTTCGAAAATCTACAGTTATAGTAAATTTACCGATTTTTGGGGAACTACGCAAAGCTTCAAAAAATATAACCTTTTTAAAAAAATCGTTTATTTGGCAGAAAATGCAAAGATAACGAGTTAAATCAGAGGAGTCGAGTAGG